TTCGAGGTGTGCGGCCGCGACCCCGACGGCTTCCTGCGCGTGGAGCGCGTCGCGGCGCTCGGCCTGCGCTTCGGCCAAGGCGAGGAGGTAAGGAGCTGGCTGGCGCGCGCGCGTCCCCATGTTGGGGGGGGGGAACCGCGGGGACCCCGTGCTGTGCTCACACCCCCGGGGGGCCTGGTGCGTCACGTGGCACCCGCCCCCGCGGTGGCCGGCCTGGCCACCACCTGCCCTTCCCTCCCGGCCGTCCCCAATCCGAGGAGCTCTCACATCGAACCCCTGGACGCCCCCTCCCACACACATCCAGTCGCAGGGGTATGTGCACCCCGCACCAGGCCTAGGGGGGACAGGGACAGGTCCTTAGCTGCACCTCCCCAACCTAGAACAGGAGATGGCTGCTTGGGGGCCACCCTGGAGTCTGGCCCAGGTCCTGGTGACCTCCCACTCAAGCTGGATGGGCAGGCCGGACTGGCCGCGGGCTGTGCTGGCCGCCGCCGGCCAGGACCAAGCTGAGCAGTGGTGAGCTGAGCATCTGGTGGTGGTGTAGGGCCGCATGGGTGGCACAGAGCGGAACTGTGGGGGCCGTTAGCCGGTCTGAATGGCAGGATCTGAAGTGCCAGTGTGTCATGAATAACTGCCCATTGGGCTAGTGTCCTCTTGCCACCCACACAGGATGTGTGTCCGTGTGTCCGTGTCTGAGGGGAGGACAGGTTCATGTAGCCGTGCAGTGGTCCGCGTCTTCTGGATTCAGAAGCTCCGGCTGAGCTTTGGGTCCCCAAGGCCATCTGAGACCTCAGGCCCTATGTGGGGAGCTTGGGACCTTGGTCTCAGATGTGTACTGGGTGGCATTCTGTTCTCAGGACAGACAGATCAGGGGGGCATTTTCGAACATGGGAGGAGCTGGGCTATGACCAGTCGGCCTGGTGCCTTCTTGTCACCTGACAAGTGGGAGGTAGTAACTATCCCTTTCTAGGTGTCTGGGCACTGGCCAGAACCCGGGAATCCCCGAGAGCAGGAGGTGGAGGAGGGAGGCAGGTGTGAGGACTCGGGTCCCCCATCCCAGGGAGCTTACTACTGTTCCCTCCTGTTGAAGCCCATTCTCGACCTCATCTCTGCTTTGCTGGGGGCATCTGCTGCGGCGGCGGCCTCCGCCTTTCTCCTACAGAGGTTAGCAGAGTCTCTCTTTTTGGCCAGCATCTCCCACCTGAGCAGGCTGAGCAGCCTCTAACAGAGGAGGAGGCCACAGGCCGAGCAGCCCCTAACACAGGAGGCTGCAGGTTGCTGGTGTGAAGCCTTCTCCTTGCTTTGGTTGAAACCTAGAATTCTAGATTCAAGGGACCCTGAGGCGTGGGAATGGCCTCCCTGCAACCCCTGGCAGGAGGCCAGAGCCCTGTGACTATATCCCCAGGCTGGACAGACACCTCCTGTCCTTAGACCCTGCTCCCTCTGCACTTGAGAAACAAATCTGCTCGTCTCTTAGTCGTCCTGTTTCTGCACGGGGACTCACCTGGGTTTCCCTTCTGCACTGTAGCCTTTAACGATGTGAAAACGTCACTCCTCTGCCCCCGTTCCTGCTTACCCTCTCACCCCTGTCTGAAGCCTGAAGCCATTTCCAGCCCATCCGGCAGGGGCCAGATTTCTACAGATGTCATTGATGAATTGTCTCACTGTTTTCCTAGCATTAATAGGGCTGGACCTGGTTAACACACACAGGGGCTGGGGGTACCTTTTCAGTGGTTCCACTCTCACACCAAGTGGCTCTCTACTCACACCAAGTGTCTGGCTACTAAAACCTCCCGGGATCTGTTAGAAAACTTCTGTCTAGGCAGCGATCCTCCACCCTGGGTCTGGCCAGTGATTCCTTTATTTACTAAATGATTCTTATATCATAGCCGGAGTTTCTGTGGACTAGAGTAGGTTGCAAAGGTGGACAGTCAAAAATAGATCTATTGTATTCCTGTCCCCTAGGGAGGTGACCAGAGCGTCCCTGTACTTACATGTAGCTTTCTGCATGAAATGAGATCATACTGCACCATGCATTCTAACCCAGCTCCTCCCCCAAATGATCCTCACATTTGAGCTGACATAAACTATCAGCGTATTTGTTATGGAGACCCTTTCCACATTTCTCTATTTAGCCCCAAAATGCCTGCTTCTGATTTTATTTATTTATTTTTTTAAGCTTGTTTTCTCTCTCCAGGACTGTGCAGTGCACCCAGTCCACGTGACTCCGGCACAGTCCCCTCCAGGATCCTGACTTGTTAAAGGGGTCAGGCCTCTTGTCTCTCGTTAGTTTCTGAAATCTAAGCCTGTGGCTCATCCCACATTCCTACTCAATTTCGTCGCGGTTCCTCCTGAGCGCCTCGGTCCTTCCTCTCTGCTGTCTGTGCGGGAATCCTCCGGCTGAGGGAGAAAGGACGCAGGGCAGGACCACGGACAGGGCCTGAGGCTCGGTGGGGCTCTTCTGCTATCTCTATACAAATTCTCAAATACAGCAGAGCACTGTTCCTCAGAGATGGGGTTCCTTCCCAAAATGCTGTGGGCTCAGACTGTTTTTGTTTACACATCTGCCTGTGACATTGATTTCCCAACCCATTGGTGCTCTAGAGACGATGATTGATTATTTCTTAGACATGAGGCTCACTGTCTACATTTTACTAACTGCCCTGGCTACCAGGCAGATCGGGATCAAGCACAGTAGGTTTTAGAGTATGAAATAAATATCCATGAGAGCATAAATAAGTAAATGAATTAATAATGCAAAAAGCCCCCGTACAGGAGAAATCCTGGAGACAAGAATATACTCAGAAGGTAAAATGCTTTCCTGGCATGTATGAACCCTGGATTTGATTTGCAGAACTACATTAAAAACAAAACAAAAAAAAGAAGGATATGGCTGCATAAAATTGGGCCCATCAAAATCCTGTCGTGGGCTAGGGAGTAACTCACAAGGCCCCAGCTCTCCATTAACATTTATAGGCAGTTAATAGTAGCCATGGGGGAGGGGTTCGTGAGGACTTTCTCTCCCTAAAGATCTATAGACAGTTAATGGTTGCTGGGCGGAGGAAGAGCCATATTCTTTAATGAGGTAGCCACTGGTAAGGTGGCTGTGCTCCTGTAAATAAAACCTCTCACCCATGTTCCTGTCAGCAACCCTAATGAAACTCATCTGGTCTCCAAGAAGAGAAACAGGGTTGGGAGAGGCCATGAGAGGAAAAGGTGGTTTGTTGGGAAGAGGATGATCAGTGGGTGGAGGACAAGGGGTTAATGGGGGATGAAAATGATCAAAATACATTCCATACATGCATAAAATATCATAACAAATCCCAGTATTATGTATATTAATACAGGTTAATAAAACAATTTGGGGGGTTCTAGACAGGGTTCCTCTGTGTAGTTTTGGTGCCTGTCCTGGAACTCACTCTGTAGACCAGGCTGGCCTCGAACTCACAGAGATCCGCCTGCCTCTGCCTCCTGAGTGCTGGGATTAAAGGCGTGCACCACCACCGCCGCCTGGCCAATAAAACAAAATTTTAAAGGCATCACACGCCTGTAAACCCAGCACTTAGGAGGTAGAGGCAGGAGGATCGGAAGTTCAAAGTTGGGGCTGGGAAGTGGCCTGAGTGGATCCCCTAGATCCCACAGTGGAAGGAAAGAGATCCGGTTCCTGAAAGTTAACCTCTGAGTGCCACGTATGTGCTGTGTGTGACACCTGTATGTCCACATATACCGGAGAAAAAGAAATTCAAGGCCATCCTTAGTTACATAGGGCGTTGAGGCCAGCCTGGGACAATGAGACCCTGTCTCAAAAAGAAAAAAGAAAAAAGGTGCTCGCTTCGGCAGCACATAGACTAAAATTGGAATGATCCAGAGAAAATTAGCATAGCCCTGCGCAAGAATGACACACAAATTCATGAAGCGTTCCCCATTTAAACTAAATAAACATATGACTTGTTAGAGATAATTCCGCATCAAGGAGGGAACTTGACCCCTCACCGCTTGGGCAGGAGTTATGCCTTGACTTCCTAGGAGTTCAGTGGGAGAAGAGGGGAAATTGACAGTGGAGAAACCTGACAGATGCCACCCCAGAATGTCACCAAGGTCAGTGCCAGCTCTCACTGAAGGGACAAGAGTGCTTCACCCAGCTCACAACTAGGGTGGTCGCGAGAGAAACAGCAGACAACCCCCAACACCACCTGAGGACATCCCACCGGGCACTGACCAGAGCTCCTTAAAATGGCCAAGGAGAGTGATGAGTGTGTCTTGTGGCATCCTGGATGGAGTCCTAGGACAAGAAGAGGACACTAGTTAGACAGTCAGGAGGTCTGAAGGATGGACTTCATTGATCACGGCGTGTGTCTACCTATAGACTGGTCTCCTATAGTCCCCTGATTTGATGACTTAAGGTCTTGGTGCCACCCTGAGGCCTCTGTCGATGGACAGGAGGAAGCACTCAGGTGTGGGGCTTTGGCAGGTGCTAGGCAAGCCCCTGCCTCTCTTGTTGGGATCTCTGCAGGATGTGTGGACCTGTGATGAAGGACAGTTTGATTTTCAGGCTTTCTAAGCAGCCAGAGGTGCCCTCGGAGGGTGTAGTGGGTAGGGAGCCCTGAAGTGAGGAGGCTTCCGTGAGCTCCCCTGCATGTCTGGCATGTGGGTTGGAACTTCACCACATCCTGCGTGGGTGCGGAGCGGCCTTCAGTCCCAGTCTCGCGCTTAGGCCCAGGATCTCTCCCCAGCACCTGAGCGGAAACCAGAAGCAGAGGAGGAGGAAGGAGATGAGACTGTGGAAAGAGGTGGACGGAGGGGATCTTAGCCTGGAGAAGCAGCTCTGATAGCGAAGCTGGGCCGGATGAATCCTATGGGTGCCCAGGTCTGACGGCCCCACAGGGACACCCCGGCTGCCTCTCCGTCCTAGGGTCCGTCAGGGAAGAGCCATGGCGAGCATGTTGTTTGGGAAGGAAACAGAGTTACCCCGGTCTCCCTGACACCCATGCACTGAGACCCACTGCAGGCAGGACCACTGGTGTCCCCCAGTCTTTATATGGGGTGTGGTAGGAGGGGTGCAGCTTTGACTCTGGGCTGTGTATTGAGGGCTCCTTCCCTCCGACCCCAAGCAGTCCTACCAGGTAAGGTAGAGAAGGGAACCTGTACCCTGCACAGCTGTCTGGGATGGAGAGCCGAGCCGAGCAGAGCTCAGGCAAGGTGCAGGGAGCAGTGGCCTGGACGCACCCTGCTGTATGCATTCCCACCCCTGTCCTATGGAGTGTGTAACCCCATATTTTTTATAGACTACGCATTCTGCTTTTGATTTTTGTTGTTGTTTTGTTTCTGAGACAGGGTCTAATTCAACCTAGGCTAACTTCCAACTCACTATGTAGGTGGGCATGACCTTGAACTCCTGATTCTCCTGCTTATACCCTGTGAGTGCTGGGGTTTCAACCTGTGGCCATGCCCAGCTCTACAGAGTGATCGTGAAGGATGTCTCCCACACCATCACTCTTAGCAGGTTTCTGGCGAGAGGCTCTTTGCACTCCCTTCTCCTCTTGTGTCGCTGCTGTGTGCCAGGGCTGGGAAACAGCGGGCTGATGGGGCTTGAGCCATGACTAGAAAAGAGACTGGCAGCCAGGCATGCTGGCCCACGCCTTCAATCCCAGCGCTTGCTGGGGCAGAGGCAGGTGGATCCCTGTGAGTTTAGGCCCAGCCTGATCTACCTAGTGAATTCTAGAATGAGAGAGAGAGAGAGTCTGGCAGCTTAAAAGTGGACACTCTTTGGGACCCTGCTAAAGATCCATTACTCACAGCTTCTATGATCTCAGGGACAGGGTAGCAGAAGAAACCAAGCCCCCAAAATTGGTATACCAGGCCTCCATGTAGCCACAGCCCACGTTATGGCTGCGAGAATGTCTCTTCTTCCCTTTGGACTAATGCTCTGTGTCCAGCCCACATCTTACTGCTCATAGCTTAAGGCACCAAACTCAGAAAAGATTGACAGCCTTCTTTAGACACCGGTCATGTGGCCTATAGTGGGCACCGTCCCCCAGAAGGCCCCAGGCTAAAGCCGGTACCTGGGCAAGGCTGCTATAAGGCTCATCTGCACAATAACAAAACCTGAGAGGGGAGGAGCTCATTGCAGTTATGAAGCAGCAACCAGAATCATTGTATGGTGGGGGGGGGGGGGATTGTATTAAAGGTGGCAGCATTAGGAAGGCTGAAAACCACTGTTCGAAAATAATCCTGCGGAGAGTTAGGGACTCACCACTTCCAAAGCCAGGCCGTTTTGTAGAGGGAAGGCTGTCTGAGGTCTCTTTCATACAGTGACCTGAGCTGTCTCCTAGCACTCCATCCGCTCATCCTTCTATCCACCTATTCACCAGTCCACTCACTAGGGCATCCGTTAATCTGGCCCTTCTTCCATCATCTACCCATTCATCATTTCCAGTATCTGGGCACCTACTTTACAGATCCATCCATCTGCCTAGCCACCTGTCAGCAAGACCTTCATCCATTCCTCATTCACTGTGTGCTCATCCACTGTCCTGGGGTTTCTATTGCTGTGGTGAAACACCATAACCAAAGCATCTTGGGGAGGAAAGGGTTTATGTGGCTTACACTTCCATATCACTGTCCATCACTGAAGGAAGTCAGGACAGGAACTCAAACAGGGCAGGAACCTGAAGGCAGGCGCTGATGCAGAGGCCATGAAGGAGTGTTGCTTACTGGCTTGCTCTCCATGGCTTGCTCAGGCTGCTTTCTTACACAACCCAGGACCAGCAGCCCAGGGGTGGCTCAACCTACAATGGGCTGTGCCCTCCCACATCAATCATTAATTAAGAAAATGCCCTGCAGGCTTCTGTACAGCCTGATATTAGGGGTGCATTTTCTTTATTTTTAAAATTTTATTTTATGTGTATTGGTGTTCTGCCCACATGTGTGTCTATGTGAGGGTGTCAGATCCCCTGGAACCAGAGTTACACAGTTGTGAGCTGCCATGTGGGTGCTGGGAATTGAACCTGGGTCCTCTGGAAGAACAGCCAATGCTCTTAACTGCTGAGCCATCTCTTCAGCCTAGAGGCATTTTCTTAATTAAGGTTCCTTCCTCTCAGATGACTTTAGCTGTGTTAAGTTGACAGAAAACTATCTAGGACACCCACCCTTCTCTAGCCATCTGCCTGTCCATTCATCCACCCACCAATTCAGTCTTTTTTTTTTTTTTAAAGAATTATTTATTTATTATGTACATAGAAGAGGGCGCCAGATCTCATTACAGATGGTTATGAGCTGCCGTGTGGGTTCAGGGAATTGAACTCAGGACCTCTGGACGAGCAGTCAGTGCTCTTAACCTCTGAGCCATCTCTCCAGTCCCCAGTTCAGTCTTTACTGCTGTAGGTGCATCAGGCCAAGTACAGACTCAGGTAGGCCTGGCATTTCCGTCGGGTGCCAAGCGGCTGTGTAGTAAAGTCACAGGAAGGACAAGGAGAGAGAACTCAGGCCGGAACAGGGGCAGATGGCGACCAGAGGGACGAAGCAGGACTGTCTGGTTCTTAGGTTTAGAAGGACAGCAACATCTCGGCACAGGCTGTCCTGGCTGGCATGAACTATCTTGATAATTTCTCACTTCCGCAAGCTGTTGCTGGTGGTAGGGCTGGGGTCATCCTGAGAAAAGCTGCAGCCTGGATTCTTTCTAGGGGAGCTTGTTAAGACGGACGGACCTGCCTGCTCCTCTGTAAAGGGGAGCTCCCGGAGCGGAAGAGTTGGCTTCATGATGACTGCCTTTGCAGAAGACACACATGGCAGCTCACTGCCAGCTGTAACTCCAGTTCCTCAGGATCCAGCACCCTCTTCTGGCCTCCTTGAGCACTAGACCTGCACACAATATACCTGTATATGTGCGGGCAAACACTCATACATGTAAAAAAAAAATTTTTTTTTTTCCGGAGCTGAGGACCGAACCCAGGGCCTTGCGCTTGCTAGGCAAGTGCTCTACCACTGAGCTAAGTCCCCAACCCCTAAAATTTTTTTTATTGCTTTTCATGTGTATGGGTGTCTTGTCTGCATTCATATCTGTGTATTTGCCTGGTGTCCAAGGAGGCCAAAAGAGGGTATGGGATTCCCTGGAACTGGAGTTATAGACAGGTGTGAGCTGCCATGTATGGGTGGGAACTGAACCTGGGTCCTCTGGAAGAGCAGCCAGTGCTCTTAACTGCTGAGCCATCTCTCCAGCCCAGATTTGTCTTTTGTTTTTTTTGAAACAAGGTTTCCCTGTGTAGCCCTGGCTGTCCTGGAACTCACTCTGTAGACTATGCTAGCCTCAAATTCAGAGATCCACCTGCCTCTGTCTCCTGAGCGCTGGGATTAAAAGAGTTTGCCAAACTGCCTGGCTTAAAATTATTTTAAATAATTTTAAAATAATCTTTTCAAAAAGGATTCATAAAGTGGAGGTCAAGGCCATTCTTTGAGGGGCTGTTTGGAAGGCTGGAGATACACACACACACACACACACACACACACACACACACCAGCATAGGCTTACTGCACCCTGTGTGAGTGCCCTGGACTACTGAGGTGTCTCTGCTGCCCTGGGTCCCAGGATGCCCCTCTGTCCCTTTCTTTTTTTTTAAGTTGTTTATTTTTGTTTGTTTTACGTGCACTGGTGTTTTGCCTGCATGCATGTCTGTGTGGGGGTGTCAGATCCCCTGGAACTGCAGTTACAGACAGCTGTGAGCTGCCCTGTGGGTCCCCAGGAAGAGCGGTCAGTGCTCCGAACCGCTGAGCCATCTCTCCAGTCCCCCGTCCCTTTCTGCATGGTCCTTTCCACCGCAGGCTCCCTGGTGCAGAGCAGAGCTCTTCCAGCCTGCACTGGTGTTTTCTGTAGACAGGAGGAATAAGGGACAGACAGAGCCCTTGGGCCAGCCTGTGTGTTTCTTCATCCCAGA